GAGAGAGAGAGAGAGAGAGAGAGAGACACCGTACTAGCGGTCATGCCATTGGGTGTCCATGGCTGAGTGGGTCTGTAGAGTGGGTCTTATGACTGTGTCAGATTAGTTTCTCAGACTTAGGGCCTCGTTAGACCCTCCTTGGAAAATCCTCACGAATTAGGATGAAGTCCTTGGAAAATTTTATGGTTTTCAGCGTTGTTGTTATGCTGCGTCCTAATTCAATGGGTCCCAAGGAAAACCCTTGGAGGTCTCCAGTAGCCAATTCATAAGTATAGATGCGGCCGGAGGGGTGGATGTCCGTCATCGTGCTGGGATGTCCATGTGTCCTCGGGCGTGGTCGAAAGGCGGCGACGGGGAGGCCGATTGGGTTGACGAAAAAAAAAGGCGCTAACATCCCTGTTCTAATTTCAAATTTTGAACCCTCCGTTGTGACACATCAGTGCGTGAGGCGTCCTGGCGACTGGACTGGAGACTGGGGCGAAACGTATGTGCGGAGGAGTGATGGCGGCCATGGCTTAAAAGGATGGCATTGGAATGTTGGGTGACGTAGCGTGTATACATAACAATTCTCTACTGCGACGCCGCCTTCGTGTTTCGTATGCTCTTCATGCGGTCATAACTTAGCTCGAACGTAACGCTTCCGTGAAACGTGGAGAGCGCGAGGGCGGTCCCAATCGACGTGCAAAAGGTGCAGCGAGGGCGCCGACAGGCGAATAAGTGGTGGGTGCTTGCGCATTGCAAACCCTGACAATGGAACGAGAGCTCTCGGGTAGTGCGAAGGCATTAACGACATTGGAGAGAAACACGGTGGTCGCAGCTGTGTCAGTCGTCGCCATGTGTTATCACATTGAGAGAACGACAACTCGCCTGAGGATGAGATTGTTTGTTCGCAGGCAGAGGCAGTTGATGCAACAAGTGATGGATGCACCCGGTTGTATGTCGTTATCGGAATCCATTGTGCAATTCTGTTGCGCCATGGCATCGAGTGTGATCCCGCGGGTGACGTCGAGATGGTGGATGAGGAGAAGGACGGGAGGGACATGGGAGGATCTCCGACAGGTTGACGACATGACGGAGGGCTACTACAAGGAGAAGTTGCAGAGTGGAGTAGTCAATGGCCCGCGTCGGCTGTCTGCTGGAGGTCTCCCGCTTGTCCATCGTCGTCTTCCTCATCGTTCGTCATTTTTGTCTACCGCCAGGACCTCGCACAACGACGCACACGTGGAACAATACAACAAGGAGGAGGAGAATAGTGGCCAGCAGCAGCAGCGGGAACCGTCGGAGGACGTCTGCCATGAATCACAGCATGCGAGGCATGTACCAAACAAAGCTCGCATCAATGCGCCCGACAATAACCGACAAAACATGCTAGGCAGATGCCTGCAATCGACCGACATTGCTTCAACATCGCTTGTAGAAGAATAAAAAAATTCGACCGTTGGACACCACGGCCGGTGACGCGCGCATGGAAAACCCTGCTTCGTGAAGCGCCTTGCAGCTGAAGAACCACCCCCACACATTTTCACGCCAACGGTAACGGTGGAAGGCCGTTGGGGGCCTGTCGGGTACTGGCCGGCGATGTCCGCCCAATGGACCACGGACGACTTGTGCACCAACATCGACTCCAAATTTTCCTGTCGGCGTTCGCTCCAGAACACTCCGTCAATTGCGGCTCCTTGAACCCAAGGGACCTCGCGAGGACCCCTTCAATCCAAGGACGTTTTGGCTGGGGATTCTGAGGAATCCAAGGAAATCTCTCGGGAATGTTTTCACATTCATTCCAGGAATTTGGTGAAGGACGCGGTGTAACCAGGCCGATTTCCTAAAAATCGGATTTCCAAGGAGGGTCTAACGAGGCCCTTACTACCATTCTTGTCAAGGGTTTGGACCGACAGTCTGCTAGGATTGCAGGGTTGGTGTCAGGGGTGTCGCTAACTCTGGGCGATGTGGTGAGTCGTTATCCATCAGTCAAATGAATCCTGGGCAGACTGTCGAGGTTCAACCTCCTAATCAGTCGGTGAAAGTCTGACGAAACAGTCTGGCACAGTCATGCTTTTTTTTTAGTGTATAGAGAATATGACAACGCACACACACACACACACACACACACACACACACACACACACACACAAACAAACAAACAAACAAACAAACAAACCAACAAACAATTACCTATGTGCACGCACAAACTACGCGCACTCGTGCCCTTGCAGTAAGTCAAATAACAAATGACAACTCCGGATTATCTTTTCTGCATTTCAGATTGACAGCTGGTGGACTGCAGCCTCATCCTGCGCACAATAGAGAGTGACAGTGTGAGACACGTGGTGCAGCAGGGCACACCAGAAATGGTCCGACCTGTCTTCCCCCGAATAGAACGCACGGTCAAATATAATGACCGTGCGTTCTATTCGGGGGACAACGGCGAGTCTGCAGGGTATAACAGATAAAGAACGCAAAACCCCAACTAGAGCGAGTAGTGAAAACGGTGAACCTAGGCAATGTGGCTGAATGGTACACACGTCTAACGGTTAGTAAAGAGAACCCGCGTTCGAATCCTGCGCAGAGCCTCGCGCAGTCAGGGCACCCCGAAAGAGGGCCACTACGACGATGACGATTGCAATGACCATGGAAAAGACATGGTCAGGGGCAGGAACGTGTTGGAGGCGGAAGATAATCTAGAGAACCTGTCCGAAACATCGCGAAAAGTGGATTCTCCTACTCTTCCCCGATCCTGACGGGACCGCGGAGTCTCCGCGCTGACTGGAATCGTGGCGGAGTTTCCGCGCTTACCGACCACAGAGTCTGTACTTCCCACCCACGGCGCTGTTGACCGTACGGTCCTCCTGATTACCCGAACATCCGGTCAAACCGGAGGATTTGTAAGCGATGGCCTTAGGGATGGGGAAGGGGAAGGGGCGTGCGCTGTAGAAAAGGATGCTCTAAAGGAGAAAAAGCTGCTTTCGGCAGGCAATCAGGTATCGTTTGCCTAAGAAGCCGAACGAGAAGAAGCCGAACCAGTAGCTCTCAGAAGAAGCTCAACCGACAGGCTGAAATGTCAAAATATTCCTCTGGATCTTTCGCTCGACAACAAGAAGAAATCGTTTGCACTTGGTAACAGTAGTGGCTATCGCCAGCCATCTCTCTCTCTCTCTCTCTCTCTCTCTCTCTCTCTCTCTCTCTCTCTCACACACACACACACGCACACACACACACACAGTGTCTCTGTCGTCTGTTCTCTCTCTCTCTCTCTCTCTCTCTCTCTCTCTCTCTCTCTCCCCCGCCCCC